AGAGCAGCCCAATAGATTTGGCCCAATCAGTTAGGGCAAACAAGGGGAACTTTCCCCTTATGCCCCTAAGCTGAGGAAGCATGGCCATGTGACCCCCTGGGGGAAACAGGACCACTACTGCCCTTGGATGCACTTATGTTTGCGTCAACAGCAAGCATTCAGTCTGCCTGTCACGCATGGAGCAACCATCCAGGAATAACAAGGCCATGCCTGCCCGTGATTGCATCTCTGTTCGTGGCAACGGCTAGTTCCGAGCACATCTTCTTGTTTCAACGGCTAGTTCTTGACAGTTACTTATTTTTTAGGACCTGATATCTAGACCCAAAATTAGGAACCAATGGCCAAATGTCAGGGGAATTATATAAACCTTCACACTTGTGAGGGTCAGTATTCAATATTCACTCTAAAACCCTAAACTCTCTCTTGTATCTCTTTGAACTCTTACTTACTTGAGCATCGGAGTGCCTTAGAGGTACACCCCCCTCCTCCTCGATTCTCGCCTTACAGACGCAGATATCAGCGGCCTGTTACAGGTTCTAGTCATCGGTAAGATCGGATATTTAGTGTATTATATATCCTAATGTGAGAAGCCATAGCTAGGGTACGAGAAAAACAAAAATTAGAAAATTAGGAAGCAATCGTGAGATTGGGGAAGCCAGAATTCAAGAAATCGTGTGAGGGGAGACCAAGCGTGAAGAATTTGTTAGATTTTGTTACGAAAGCTTCATTCGAGGTAAGGGGATATTACTTTACATATGGGCGATCATTATGAAGGTGTAAGAAACACAAGAAAGGGGGTTTGAATTGGATTTCTAGATTTAAAATCAAATTCTTCCCAAGACAAAACAAAGAAAATAAGAACAGAAATAAATGACACATATATTTTTATCCTGGTTCACTGTTAACAAAGTTAATCCAGTCCACCCGCCAAGGTGATTTTGCCTTCTTAAATAAAAACTTAATCCACTATAACCAAATTGATTACAGACCCAACAAAGACCAATTTTCAATGTTGCAAACCATAAAAACTAATTGTCAATGTCTTCTTGATAATCATGACTAAATCCCTAGTCTCTCAAAGAAATATCAACTTCAAAGTTTAAATACAAAGAGTGTGTTTACAGATTTTCTTCTTGAAAGCAAATTACAAAAATTTGAGTATAATGAAATAACACAACAGTATTAATAGCAAGTATTGAACAAAAGTTCTTTTCTTGCAATTTAACGAACAAAAGTTCCTTGCGTTTACAAAAATTTACAAAAGAATATATGAAATAGAGTTAAGCAGCATTGCAGCGTAAGTTTTGTTGAGCAGAAAGTTGTTTTCCAATTCTTCCAAGTCTTTCTTTTATATCTGAAAATAAATTTATTAGAGGGTGTAATAGAAATACATAAAACCAGTTGTTTTTTCCATAACGAGAGAGTGGTAGACAACATAGTACTCACGTATAATCCTTACGCCATATTATCAAGGTAGTGGGAACATTTGTACCTTGTTCTATTCTCTCGTGTAAACCAATTTTGATCTTATCTTCTAATCTTCAGAGGTGTATGATGGTTGATGATGAATCATGCTTAGAAGGACCAAAACTGGAATCTTCAGAGCCTGAGTCTTCAGAGTCTTCAAAACTTGGTCATCCAAAACCTTATCTTCAGAGTCTTCAGCACTTGGTCTTCAAAATCTCTGTTTTCAGAAATCTTCAAAACTTGTTCTTCCAAAACCTTGTCTTCAAAATCTTTAGAGCTAGGACAAACAGAATCAGATCTTGAGAAGTCTTCATAAGCTCTTCTAAAGGAGCCATGATTAGAAGCTCTATCACTAACATTCATCAGAGTCGTTGTTATAGAATCATTCTAGAACTTGATTGGGACTTGTAAATACAACTGGCTTCTTCCAGAGTCATAGTATTTTTAATTCATAATTTGATAATGTCTCACACCTTATCTTCAGAGTCATAACCTGTTAGAAAAATCTATATACTAGACATAAATTGTTATAGTACTAAATTGTTCTCTAAAGATATCATGTAATGTTATCATAAAAACTAGGCTAGATGCAGAACCAAATCTTATTATTATAAATTAGGCAACCAGGATGGTTAGGTGTCTTTACCCTCCCATCAATGTCATAGGTGATTTATGTACTTTCCATAATTTATGTACTTTTGTAATTTATGTAGTATGTTTGGCCAAACCGATTTGGGCAAAATCCCATGGGCATCGAGTTGGGCCGCGCACGGGCGCTGTTGCACCAAGAGGGTCAACGATTAAGTTTCCCTCAACCATCACTATGAATATGGATGAATAATGTACACCCAAATATTCTAAGAGTGGGGTTACTAAAAGTGGACACATTAGGATAGAACGAGCGTAAGACTTCCAAGGGAGTTTTGGAGGCAATGACAGTAGAAGGCAAATGATTTATGAGATACGATGTAATTAAAACTGTCTCGCTCCAATATTTCTTAGGAAATTTATTTTAAAATATCATAGCATGTGTTTGGTCAAATAAATGCCTATTTTTTCTCTCAACGGTGTAATTTTGTTGGGGCGTTTAATACATGAAGACTCGTGGATAATACTTTCATTTTGACTCAAAGAATTAAGATTATGATTAAAGTAATCCTTAGCATTGTCATACTGAATCCTCTTAATAGTTATATTGAATTGATTTTTAACCATGGAGAGAAATTGAGGAAACACACGACTAACTTTATATTTTTGTTTAAGTAAGTAGATCCAAGTAACCCGAGTACAATGATCAATAAAGGTTGCGAGTCAATGGGCGCTCGGAAAATATTTGGAATATTAGATGGACTCTACACATATATATATGAACTAGATAAAACAAAAAAGTACTCATTTTATTACTGACGTGAAAAAGTTACACGCTTGTGTTTAACAAGCTCATAGACCTCACAATGAAGAATTTCAACATCTAATGTTTTAAATAAAATAAGAAATGGTTGCTTAATGACTTTAAATGAAGGATGGCCTTGGCGACAATGGTATAAGTGAACCTTCTCCATGTTGGTCTTTATTGATTTTGAAGGGGAAAAAAAGGAATTGTTGTTAGGAAATCTGGGTTTGAATCTTTGTTATCTAAATAGTAAAGAACATTCTATTCTCTAGCACTTCCAATCCTCCTCCCTGAATTCTTATTCTAAAAAACACGAGATTTATTATAGTAAATAACATTATATGATAGGTCGTTTTGAGTTCTTGTATGAAAATTAGGCTAGTAGACAATTTTGGGTATAAAGAAAAATGTTAAAGGTCATGGATGAGTTCATTTGAATTGTTATTGACCTCTTACAATTATAAGAGTACCATTTGCAGTGGATATTTTTTGTTACTATGGTGAACAAGTGGCGAAGTGTGGGGGTTAAAGGTGTCATGTGATCAGTAACTCCAAAACTCAGTATTGTTTAAAGTGTATATCTAAAGCATTAAGTTTAAAAGAGACTTGAGACTTACCAAAAGAAAAAAGAAATAGAAACATACCTAAATGTGTTAAGAACTTACTGAGGAGAAATCTCATTTTTTCTACTTCACTTAGCTAGGTTAAGTTGTACCACTTTTCTAGGCTGTTTTCACTAGTACTTTATCTAGTTTAAGTCTTCTGTTTCTTGATAAGTCTCCCTTATGTTCTCACTCTCTATTAGGAGGTTTTCAATTTAATTTTCAATATTTTTCTTTAAGTATATGACGAGGCTTGTTGTAACGAGTATAACACACCCCTTCGCTCTTCTTCTCGACATAGCTTCCTCTCTATTTCTTCTGATCAACCATGGAGAAAAAAACTTTTTTTTCAACAACCAAAGAGTGTAGGCGTGTGAAGGGTCTTCCGATGGTGAAATTTTGGGGTATGGTCAGTTTTTCAAGGTCTCGACAATAGTGTGGGTAACAAGATTAAAAAATATATATGAATAAGGACAATTGTATGAACAGTAAACACGGGTGAATAGTACCTATAATTTGTTAAAAATGACTACAATGAAAGCAACAATAACTATACCACAATTAAGACATCTAAAATTTTGGAAAAAAAATCACAATTAAGACGGCTGGAGTTTATAAAAAAAAAGTGTAAATAAGACAGTTAGAATTTTAAAAAAAAGGAACCACGATTAAAGTGTTTAGAATTTGTTATACGAAAATGAAACTCTGTCGACGAGAACTCTAATACCATATTAAATTTAAATATAAATATTATTTATGATAACGAATATACTAGCATTAATCTTTTTAAATAAAATATTATATATAATGAATCTTACTAAAGACCCAATATAAATTATTAATTATAACAAAAATAACAAGAATAAAATTAACTATTCACCAGACTAGTATATTCAGATAAATAATTATAATACTTAAAAGTCTCCACTTAGAATAAAATCCTTTAGAATATTTAAGTAAATAACACATGTTAATTGCTGAAGAAAAATATTTAGAAGTCAAACCACCATAGTTATCTATATGCTTGTATAATAATATGAACTTGCAATCATATTTCACTATAGTGCCAATTTGCAAAGTGCACATAATTTTTGTGCTGGTGTATCTGATATCCTTGATACATAAATATATGTATGTGAACAGGTTGACAAGTATGGATTTTATATTTTTATAATTGAGCTTAAGATTGTTAAGTCAAAAGTGGAAGAGTAAGATTAAGTCAGTGTTAAAGAACGCAGAGATTCCCCGACACCTAATATCCCACTATCGGTGCATTGACACCACCACTAAAGAATCCGTAGCTACACGTCTCTTCATGGAGTATTATGATTTATGATGAAGCAAACAAATAGTTACGGGTTAGGTGTTTGATAATATATTAATAGGAAGTTACTTGAACAACCTTTTCAATGTCTATAAATAGGGTCCATCACCTTACACTTTTATGCAACAAAGTACAATTTCAACATAAATATTCTTACTGTGCTCAAACACATCACTTTCTCATATACATTCAGTTAGTTACTACTGCTTTTTCCATGGCAAGCTCCAAGTTCATAGGGGTTGTTCTCATTGCTTTGTTCATTGTTGACCTAGCATGTGCTTCTAGGTTACTTGGTGGTGGTAGAGGTGGAGGTGGAGGTGGTGGGGGTGGTGAAGGGGGAGGAGGTGGTGGTGGTCTAGGAGGACATGGTTCGGGGTATGGGTCTGGTGGGGGTGAAGGATATGGTGGAGGATCACAAGGAGGAGGAGGTGGTGGTGGTGGTAGAGGAGGAGGTGGCGGAGGAGGTAGTGGGAATGGTGGCTCGGGGTATGGTTCTGGATATGGATCGGGATACGGTTCAGGATATGGTTCTGGTGGTGGTGGTGGAGGAGGTGGTGGTAGAGGTGGAGGTGGTGGTGGTGGTTCTGGTGGCTCAGGCTATGGTTCTGGTTCTGGCTCTGGCTCTGGCTATGGTGAAGGAGGTGGAAGAGGAGGTGGTGGAGGAGGAGGTGGCGGAGGTGGTGGAGGAGGAGGAGGAGGAGGTAATGGAGGTTATGGCTCAGGCAGTGGCTCTGGCTACGGTTCAGGATATGGTTCTGGTTCGGGAGGAAATGAATATAGCCCTTAAATAAAAAAACAGAGTTACTTATTTTAGCTACTTATAATTAATAGCATATGCATTATTCAATCTTCTTAAGATATCATATGTGATTTCAAATAATAATTGCATTGTGACTTCCTAGTCATTTTGCTTCATGCATGCTACATTCTATATGGTTACTACAAAATTTATGTGCACCACTATTGCAAGTGATATTGTCAAGCATAATATTAATAAGAGACTTCGGTTGTAGTTAATATAATTCTTAGTTGTTTCTTCATTTTATTTCGCTCTCTCTTTAATCTTATTTTTCTTACGGTGGAGTGATGCAATTACTAATTAGATATGCTTGCAAAATTAGTTTAATTACTATTAAGTCTTCCATATGTATAATAGCACTATATACACCAACTATACTATATAAATCATGTACACGAAAAGAACTATGCATAACGCTTAAATATTAGCAAGTGTACAACTTATCATATGATGTGAAAAGGCATTTATCTTTGTTAGACAAATATGCTTTCTACCTTTTAACTTATCTTATGATGTTAAAAGGCATTTATCTTTGTTAGACATATATATATATATATATATATATATATATATATATATATATATATATATATATATATATATATATATATATATATATATATATATATATATATATATATATATATATATATATATATATATGTCCTACATTTTTACTTAAACTTAGTGTTTTAAAAATTTGAACTGTCCGATCGAATCAGTTAAATTGGAAATTCCACGAGTTAAGTGTGCTGATAATATTATAAATTTAAAAAACAAGTTTTTAAAATTATAATATTTTAAAATTTTTTAAAGGTGTCGTAGTTTTTTTTAGAGTAAATCATTTGATTCAATTGATTTATTCAATTAAATTATCATTTCATCTGTTTCTTTTTAATGGTCATTCTTATAAAAAATTTATCAACTTTAATTATTTGTTATATATATAGAGAGAGAAAATACGTTTTTGATATATGTAAAAAATCAAAAATAAAAATCAAAAAATAACCGAACCAGTAAATGAATGGATTAGATGACTGATGCCTAACTAAACCCGGACCCAGTCATGATAAACGTTGTTGTTAGAGGAGCAAGTATACTTAACACTATGATAATGATGTTTACTATTTAAAAAAAAAACACGTGATTTGCAAACTGGGACTAATTTTGCTTTCTTAAATTGATAATTCCTTCATAGTCAATAAGAAGACTTCTTATTTTTAGTTAATCAAGACTAAAATACAATGAAAGTTTTAAAATTTTAAATAAAGAGTTAAATATGTTAATTGAAATGACATTATTTAAATGGTTATAGATGTTACATAATCATATGGTATGGACTTCGATTTAGATAAAGTTTTAAATGATTTTAGTCTTGTGATTTCAAATTTTAACTTTAATAATTTTATTAATAAGAACTTCGTTTTTTCTGAAATATAATATCTTTTGACTAGTTTTCTTTTTAGTAAAATTATTAAGAACAATGATGATAAAGTTTGACATGATCACAAAATACAAAATAATACATATTCAAAAAAATTTCCTTGTTCTTTTTATTGATGGAGTATGCCAATATATGTCACTGGTGGAATACCATACTTTCTTAAAATACTATCTTATGATTTCTTTATTTCTTATTGATTAGGTTTGTCCTGTTTATCGTAAAGCGTGTTTGTATACATTTAGAGAACACGTGAATTATTGTAAAGAGCTTTTAGACTTCAAATACCGACATGATCTTGTTAGGAATGTCATATTTGACATATTTCGATGTGTTTGAGTTTTTGTAAAAAAAGAGCCGCCTGTGAATTTTTTAACCAGTTCACTTGAGGGAAAATTGACACTTAGGTCAACAGATATTTTAGTGTACGGGTGGGTAGGAGACAAACATATTTGTGTAAATTTGACTATAATTTTTTCACTTTTGAGATTGAAGACTAGTAATTTTACTATAGGACAAGTACATTTTCAAAGTTGTTTAATACGTGAAAGCGTGTTCCAACAAACATGAATATTTCTATATAATTTGTCTTTATCACTTTTAATTTTCTAGCACTTAAAACAGTTGATTTTTTATAAAAAATTTAAAGACTTATGAATAACATTGTTGTATTTCCTAAATTTATAAATATATAATTTTTAATAAAATTGATTTTACAATAAAAAAAGAATAACAGCACAACTTATCATCCGATTACTTTGGATTTCTATATAAACTTTTATATAATTTAATTTTATATAAACTTTTATATAATTTAATTTTAAATACACTGGAAATAGATATTAACAAAGTTGTGATGCATCAACAAATATTCTTTCTCGGTCTCTTTTTGACAAATTATTTTTAAGAATTGAATGCTATTAAAAAAATTGACAATTTTTTTTAAAGAATTTATTAAATTTTTAATTGTTGTGATTTATAAACAGTGTAATATAAATTAAATCTAAAATTATAATCAGACAAAATGGCAATATGATATTAGTAATGTACAAGGTTTCAGGTTACTTTTCCCTTAAGTTGATCTTCAATCTCATTTTTTGTGTCATTTAATTTACCTAGACAATACTCTAATCCTTTGTTTGAAGAGAAAGTCCTTTTACGCATGGGACAGGTTGTTACACAGGTCCACTATGAATGTGAGACACAATTGATGTCAATCATGACGTAATCAAACTAGGTTCGGCCACCACTTTCGAAAAGCTTCAACCAAAAGAAATCACTCAACCGATTTGGCGTGATGAGGCTGAACAAGCAACACAACTTTTAAGACCACCGAAAGGAGTAGAACCTTTGTAGTCACCAATAACCACTTTTTTTTTTAAATTAAATAATTATATTTTCAAATCTTAAAAATTCACCACACATACATGTAAAATAAAGAATAGGCAATTTACTGCATAACTTATCCTCTTATGTATTATCATGCAATATGACGCATGCATGTACTTGTTAAGTAAAAAGCGGCACCTTAGGTGACTTGACAGTTGTTTTTAATTTTCTATAAATACAACCACTCATTTTTACTATTTTTCACACATCTTCTCATATCATTCTTAAAAATGTCTTTCACTCTCTTGCCAAGGTTTTTCACTTCATTGTCAAAGTTTTCACTGATCAAAAGAGATGCTCGTGTTATTTTTTCACCGACAAAGCCTCCGATGAAGATCAAACTCTAGAACACGCAGACGTTCGAACATTTTCAGAGACACTTGATTCGCTAATTGGAAGGAGACATTCCTGACTGTGAACAGATCAAAAAAATTGAAAGACAAATTACGGTGAAGAACGGAAATGGAGTAACCCGCTCATGGAAAACTATGAGAAACGACGCTGATGTCCTTGTGATGATGCTTAGACCAGATGATATTGTGTTGATGATTTGAATCTCTTAGTTATTGATCGTACGTGACCAGAGTGGATCGTTAAGGCCTACGAGTTGTGAGTTGAGCAGCGACTGGAAGTGAGTTGGGAGTACCTGCAAGACACTCTGATGCCAAAGTAAGGTCAGAGCAGTGCGAGCAAGTATGAGAGTGAGTATGAAAGAATGAATATCTGACTCTCTCAAGAGAGAAGGTATTTATAGCCCCCAGTGCTGGGCCAAGGTCCCCATTGTTGGGCTGAGCAAGCAGGCCCAAAACGGAGACTGTCAGGTTCTACGCGGTAGTGGGGTCAGCACGGGGTCCCCAACCTGGATGGATTCCCCTGAATAATCAGGAGGATATAGATGCGGTCTTTTGGGGACCAGAAGACTCCGTGATATCCAGGGGTGTGGTGAGTCAACCCTACGAGGAGGGTGTTCGCGATGTCTTTGTGTCGTCGAGAGGAATGAAGGATGATTGTGAGGTCCTCCTGACCGGCGATGAGCCTCCCCGTGATTCTTGGACTTATTCTCGTACGGTGTAGTCGGGTTTCCCGACGGGTGAGGTTACTGCCCGACATAGTTGAAGGTAGGTTCGGTCAACGGACTTGCTCGAGTAGCATAGATGGATTGGGCCTATTATGAAGTTGGGTCAAGTGCAGGCCCAGTCTAGAACAGGAGTCCCCCAAGTCGTTGCTCCTGACGAAGGAGTTATGACTTAAGTCCAACTTTGCCTTATGGCGAGCATAACCTCGTCGGGAATCTTTTACTGCATCGAGGGAGATGGTCGTTAGGATGCGCGTGATCTCGAGAAGAGGTTGGAATTTGCTTGATGGGGAATGTTTCAATTCTTCCTTGACTCACGGGGAGAGGAAACCACGCAGGGTGTGGGCACGTGGCGTGACCTTTGAGATAGTAATGATGGCCTAGGGAGTATGGGTCATCATTACCTGAGTGCGTATGTGGCAAGGAGAAGGGAGGTCGATGGTCTGCTTGACGTAACGCTTCGTATTCCATGTCAGATATATATATAGCAGTATGGGGCCCATTTCTCACATTTTAACTTTCGCTCTCTTCACTTTCTCTATTGCATGTGTCGTTTCTCTGCCTTCCCACTGTCAACACCGTCGTAAGACTGTCACGGATTCTCTATCTACTTCTTGGTCAAGTAAGTGTTTTCCGCATAGAATGTTGTTTACGATTAGCTTTTTTGATGATTCTTTATAGAAATTCGTTACCGGGGAGGGGTTTTTGCTCGGGGCGTTCATATATTCATGCGTAACATTTGCGAATAAGCTCGTGATATTCATTTCTTCTCTGCGAAATTCATGAAAATACCTGTGACATCCATCTACTCCTCGCGAAATTCATGAATTTTGCGCGGGGAATTAATATGCTCCCCGGTGAATTCATGAATTTGTCTGCCAAATTCGTATGTTTCTCGCAGCATCCATGGATCTGCTCGCGATATTTATCCCTTGCCCGCGTTATCCATGAAATATGTGTTTCGTTATTATCATCGTTGTGCAGTCTTATGAGATTTGTATAAGTTTCATGTGTTGATTGTGGGTCGTGTATGTTCCTCACTGCTCGATTTATCGTCAACCTACTCTGGGCATAGCCATCCCC